ATCATCCTTGGACGTTCCCCTTGACACTGAGCGATAGCTATGTTGATCCGACACAGCTCGCTGCTTCGAGAGCGTGTCATTCGACGTCTTGAATCTTCGAAGGGTTGATGTGGAAATGGTGTCTGGTGTCGGAGGAAGGCCTTCGCCGGGGTGTGAAGCTGGTGAATCTGTTGTCACTCTCCGCAATGCTTCGCGCTTCGCGTCCTTAGTCTTCTTCTGCGACTGCCCTCTTCCTGCCATCGGGGAAGAGTCTTGGACGGGCAGACTGTCCAGATAGTTATGATCGAGCCTCGCTAGCTTTTGGAGGGGCGAGGTGTGGTCGATGATGTCGTGGAGCGACTGGAACTGGCCTGGACCAGGAGCCCGACTAGTTGAACTGGACCTACTTGGGCGACTGGATCGTGTCGACATGGTGGTCGGTGGTTTTTGTACCCTAGACTGGTCGCTGCCGTACGAAGCCTTTCGAGGTGGCGCGGAGTGTGGTAAAGCACCATCCATAGAGTGTGGCTCGTCTGCATCGGCCACAATTGTTTGATCCTGGTCCTCTTTCTCGCCATACACACTTACAAAGGAACTTTCACTGAGGACGCTGAGGCTCGGGCTCGTCATGCCATTACCACGACGTGGATCCGTCTCATCCACTGCCTCCGTGTTGAGCCTCGGTAAGCTGAGTAGGCTACCGCGCGAGCTGAGGTAGACTTTTCGTAGGTTCTCGGTATTTTCGGTATAGTCCGATAGAAAACTCGGCATGCGGTTGAGCGTCTTAGCATCATCTTCAAGTCGTGCCAGGTCCGCTATTCTAGGCTTGGGCGTGGGGCTTCTGAGGCGAGATTCGAGGTCGTCGGGAGGTAGGAAACCGGCTGCGTCGACCATTCGAACCATTTCCCGCTCCTTTAATAGCGTCTCGACCTGGGCCTCAAGAGTCACTATCATCTGGACCGCCTCCTGCACAGCCTTGTCTCGCTTCTCCAACTCGTCGAGTAGCTTGTCGTTCACATCGTCTATTTGTGCTTTCTCGGACTCGAGGGCGTCGACACGCTCTTCGAGCGCATTTTGTCGTTCGCGGCGGTGGAAGAGCTCGAGCTTCAGGTCAAAGTTTTGCTTGTGCAAGGTGGAAACAGTCTGTCGAGGCAGCTATCAGTAAGGGTAGTGTACAAAGATGTGATCCAAGGCTACTCACTGCCTCCATCTCCTTGGCGCCCATGCCTTTATTCTTTGTAGATTCTCCATTGCCTCCACTTGATCTTGGCCGACGTCCATCAACGGACTCGCCTTTCACGGGTGAACTTTGCGCATGTCGTGGTGGTAATTCTACGGAGGCGGCCATGTCCTGCGTTGACCGTACCGCGGCCAACCTGTCGGCCTCCTCTCTTCTCCTCTGGAGTTTGTCCTGGAGATAGGTGGATGCGGCGCTCTGCCTTCCAGAATCAGAGACCCGGTCTCTTGACACAGCAGATCCAGGCCGAGAGGTCACCATCGACGGAGTGCAAGAGCTGTGATGGAACTTGTGGGCAGGGTGAGCACTGGGTGGTCTCGGCGAGGTAACGAAATGTGAAGTCGAACTATTTGCGCTTCGAGGGGTCCGTCGGGTTGCACTGGTACTTGTACTTGATCTCGAAGTTGGACGTGGGTAGACCGGAGAGGGTAGTGACCTCTCGCGGTCGCGCGATTGAGTCCGCGCAAGACTGTCCATCGTATCTAAGGGAAAAGAAACTACGGCGTCCTGTGCTTGATCCGATTGCACGAGAACAATCGCCCGCATGCAAGTCGACCTAGAAATTCGTATTATCAGACGGCTCTTTGGCCCAGAGGATCACGCCGGCAGTCGGATTGGAGTGCTGAGTGACCGAATTGGGCGACAGCAAGGCGTCGAGGATCAGGATGATGCCTGTTCGAGGTGCAGAAGCGCGAATGGCAGTTGCGTCGAGCTAACGCAGCTGAAGGGGGGACGAGTACGGGAAGGGCAATCGACGTTCTTGGTAACTGAATAATAAGGAGAGGAATCCCTGGGCACGGCGCGGCAGCGAGAGGAAAGTTGCAGTGGTAGCAAAGCCGTCGAGTCGTGGCTGTGGATGCGCTTTGAAGGTATAAGAGAGCTGCTATTGCGTGAGAACAGGCCGAGACCTGGTTTCCGCAGCTTTGGGCCTACGCGACTGCTGATGGCGGCATGTGGTGGAAGTGCCGTGCAATACTCTTTCTCTCCCTGGGCGATACGGAGTAGGTACTGAGGGGAGAACCGACAGGCCGTCTAGACAGGAGCTTTGCGTTACGTCGGATGGCTCGCCATGAACCGATGCAAACGTGGAAAGGCAGGGCAAGCGGGCGAACTCTCGAGTCGGGTCTTTTGTCTCCCACAACGTCGGATCGGCAGTTGGGTCCAGCGTTGGAGGCTGGGCCGTGTCGCAGACGTTGTATCGCCGCAGCGCAAATGTCTAGGTATCGCGATGCCGCAGGAATGTCTCAATTGACGAGGGGCGGCGATACTGGAATGTCTCGATTGCGTGGTGCTTGGTGGGACAAACGGAGGGTCCTAGTCGCAGGAACCCAGGCAAGCTGGCGACAGAGGCTGGGAACGCAGGGCAATGAAAGAAATACTGGGTATCTGGAGCTGAGCTGAAGTAGTGAATGTCGATGGTGGTTAAGATGATGTTGATGATTATTGGCAACTAGATGGAATGGTCTTTAGTGAATTGCCACCGTCAATGTCGTGTTCGCGAGCAATGCTGGTGTTGCGATGGACAACGATGTTGGTGTCGTCTAAGAAACGATAGGCGACCTGGTCAATAATGGTGGAAAAGCAGCTAGACACCTAGAGGACCAGGCTCCGAAAAGAGACCCTTGGGAGGTCCAGGGAGCAGATAGCGACCGATCGACAGGGCTATCTCGGGGTTGTTCTGTTGGCCAATTGAAGTTTAGCGATGCGAAGATGACGAAGTGGTTCGTTTCTTGGTCAAGATGACTGATGATAGTGGTGGCAGTTGTTGTGGTGACCCTCGCACATAGAATTTGGCGATGACAGTTCGTGGGAGAGGAAATGTAGAATGGCGAGGATGACGGAGCAGGTAGCACATTTCTTTCTGTGCCCTCTCTCTACTGCAAATGATCGGCCGCGAGTCGGAAGAAGAAAGATACACACACGGCTGGCGGCGCAAAGGGAACCTTGGGTGACGGGAATACGCACACGCAGGAGAAGGAAGGGGAAGGGCGTCTGATGCAACGGAACAAAAGTGACGAGGGTAGCTGCAGGGGGCTTAAGGGTGTGGAACTGTGTGGATGTGACGGGACCAACTGCAGGCACGCGGGGAGTCAAAAGGCAGCAATTCCAAGGTTGAATTATTCGCCAATGGGCAGCAAAGCGAGTGACAAGATGTGGGAGACCGCAGACCCTTGCAGGAGAAGAGTGGGATGAGGTGGGATGTGATGGGCCAGACGCGATGGTTGGACACAGGAAGGAGATGCGCAGCCGAGCAAAAGACCAATAGGTGCAAGGATCGCGGTGGGGGAAAGCTCGAGCGAATGCCGTTGGAGGATGCGCGTTGATTATTTGGTGATGTATTCGTTGGTGTTGGTGATGAAGTTGGTTGGATCTTGAAGGCAACGAGAAAGAAATGGGGAATATCAGGCGAGGTGGCTGGATTGGTAGGGCCGTATGAGAGTGAGAGTGAGAGCGAGTCTCAGGATGAAAGTGAGATGTGAGTGAGTTGCAATGGTGTAAGAACCTCAACTGAACAAGCGCAAGCACAGGCAAGAGAAGATGCGCCTCCTCCACGATCCAATGCTTCAAAAGAAAGACATCAGACCAGTCGAGTAGAGAAAAGACGAGCAAAAACTAGTGAAATGGGCACAGATGCCCGCTGCAGGCAAACAAATATTCTTGCTTTTTCCCATCCGTCAGCGTGTCTCTACCAAGCATGCGAGCCAACCCATTTCTCAGTGTCCGAGAACATTCAATCAACTCGGCCAGCTACCTAAGCTGTTGCGCGTCGCGCCTCACTCTGATCGCTTGGTGCCTGATTGTCCCTCGCTCTCTTCTTCGGTCCTAGTCGGATCTTCACCAAACCTTCAGAATTGGCGCGCCGCCCGCGCAAGCTTCCAGTCCTGCAAGGACAGGAACAGGAATAGCATCGGACAAGGGAGATTGCCTGGCGCAGAGGTCGCCGCTGTTAGTGCCGACGACCGGCACCCGTCAGTCGCTAGTCTCTGCTCTAGCGGCACGTTGCGTGAGGAACTACTTACTACAGTATCAGGCCAAAGTTTAACCCCCTTGTCAGGTATCTTCGCCCGTGCTTTTCGAGATTACATCAGTAGTATTACTTTCGAGATTCTTGTGCACGTCGAACACAAATTTGGCCATTAAGAGTCACTGCTCTACCCTGGCCAGACCCACGCTACCTGGTAGGGAGTTTAAACTTACCCCTATAGACCAAGTACAAAGTGTGTTAGCTAAGAAAGTGAAAAGCACCACCACGCAGTACTGTGCTCCGTATGTACAGAGTTTGCCATTGATCGACATCTCCAGCAGACTCAGTGGCATGAGTGAGTTTGACTTCCAGGTTCTGGGAAGCTGTTTGGGCAGCAATGAAGTCACGAGACGAACGTGTCGTGTTGGTGATGATATTGGCACTGCTATCATCTCATTCTCATCTAATGTTTATCTGACCACCCAAGTCTCGCTCAGCTCGCGCAGCTGTCAGATCCTTCTGTCCCTCAGGTTGGTAATCGCTATGACCTCTGCTCATACGTTGTCAATCTTGCATTCCTTTGCGGTGAAGAAGCGTATGCGCAATGTGGAAATGCCGACTAACATGAAAAAGCTTGTAGCTCGGGCATTTTTCTCATCGATTAATCCTTTTTTCTTTCTCTCGTTTTTTTTCTTCTCAATGGCGCCGGCACTAACAGCCACTACAAATGATCCGAGCTCCCCTTGCATAAGCCAGCACTTGTGAGCTGTGTGTGTGATTATGTAAGAAGCCCTGTTCTTTTGTGTTTGTGCACGCGTTATGCAGGGGTACGTCTCTCTGGTGGGTCCCCTGCACGCCGTCCAATTACTCCGAGCTGCCATCCTTGTTGCTTCTGCTCCCTCCTCTGCATCTTCCTCCTTCACGCCCAATAAGAGTCGATTCCAACGTGATGGAAGCAAGGTCCTCCCCAGTTCCCCGGCTGCAGGCTGACTCTGCCGTTCAAGAGCATCTTCAAGGGGCGCGCCATGATCCATTGCACCCGCTCGCAAAAGGGGGCAACGAAAGAGGGGTTGATTTGAGAAAGCCGCAGGCAAAATGTCGTTGTGTCTCTCTCCACGAGCAAGCTTTGCTTGCAAGAAGGAGGCTGGTGTTTAAGACAACAGCTGACAGTCCCTGGCAGATACCGAGGCAATGTTGTACGAAATACGGATATCCGGCCGCCGACTGCTACGTCCGTACCGAGTCTCATCTCTCATCAAGAGGAAGAAAAGAACTGATGGCGGTTCAAGGGTCTTGGTCGCAGTCGCTTCCCTTACTATCACCGTCAAAGCGCAACAAGTCCTGCGGCTGTCCATCGATAGACACAACGGCAGGTCACATTGGTACCTGATATTGACAGCCCTCTCATCTCGTACAAGGTCGATTGGGTAGCGCCACGACGCCGAGCCGTGAACCACTCCACCTGGTCCCATTTCGATGCGACTGCTTCCTTCGTCCAGAGCCGTCGGCTTTTGACTCTGCGCCGTCTGCTTCTGCCGATCCAAGTTTGCAGTAGCTCCTCTACCGAACTCCTCGCAGACTATCGTACGGATACACATCGTGCCACCAATCTTTTTGACGAGCGTCACCCACCATGGCTCTTTTCAGTGTTTCTCCGTACCTGATGACAACCGTCCACAATGTATCCATGAATTGGGACTCCGCGTCATAAGTTTCTACCACTACGAGCCAAGCCGACTCCAACATCATCTCGCCACCAACGTAGCCCAATTTGCGACCTATACGGATACCCCCGCCAAACTGCGCATCCTACGGCCTGCCCCGGCTGGTTCCACGCATCTAACAAACGCCTCCGGCCACCGTCCCCGAAGCCCAAGGCCCACGCCCACACCAACGCACCCAAAACACCAAAATAGCGTTCCCGGAATCTGGTTAACGTTCCGCTGGCCCCACCGGCCTCGGCCCCAAGACTGTGCGCGCGCCTGGCCTGGTTGTCTTCTCTTGCCCTTGGTTTGTCGCCTTCGTTCGCCTCTATCGAGACCGTTCTGTCCAGTATCCACAGCATGCAAGCCCGATCGATGGGAGGGAACCAGCAGATTGAGTTCTCCCTTCCATGTCCCTCCATGACTCGAAGATCCTCATGTGATACGCAACACAGGAAACGAACCGGTGCACCCGTTGCTCGAACTCAAACTGCGAACCGGCGTCTGGAGTGCGGCCCGCGATGTGACAGAGGACAAGCCCGCCGCGCCCCGTTGCGCATGCCCGACGCTGAGCCGGCGTGTACGCTTGCGCAGCGGCCGATGAAACCTTAGGCGGTCAGCTCGGCGGTCTACAAGTCCGCAAATCAATCGCTTGGGAGTGCTGTCTTCCACTTCTCACGTTTCCCTACTACCGGTGTCACTCACTTAGATTAGCTGTGCCATCATGTTCTCAATCACAGTCACACCTCACAACGTCAAGTCTCCAAGAGGAGGTGGAAGTCTCCCTGAATCCGGGCAAAGAAGCACTCAACCTGAAGCACTGCAACCAACGGAGAATTTTATATCCCTGTTGCTACCGACCCCAGACAGCTCACTGATTGCAAGGGTACACGGCGAACACGAACGCGACGCCAAATGCCCCTCCAATCTTGCAGCTTAATGTGTGTGCTCCAGAGGTGCTACTGTCGACTCAGACATCCGACATCAACGTTGCAGAAAGAGGGTATCTTGCTACCTGTGGTATTGGCCATGTGACCATCTAGACAGAGGCCGAGTCTGATCTCCTGCGCAGTCCGATGTGACCCACTCGTTCGCACCTTCTGGCATGCGAGCAATTAATCACCTGCCAAGGATACCGTCATTCTCAGCGGAAAGATGACCCGAATGCGTCGAATCGGCTTTGCAAGCTGCTTGGGCTGTGACCCCTGTGGACGCCAGATTTGACTCTTCCGTGCATGTAGGAAGAATCATGACCTGCAAGGTCTGATTTCTCTTGAGAGCCTGGTCACGAAGGCGACTTACTATGCAGAACGCATGACGTTCGGGCGGGTACCAGATACTGGAGATGAAGGCCAATTGAGGTGTACATCTCAGCGGACCGTTGTGATATTATCTATAGAAAAGGAAGAACAATATGGCTTGCTTGGTCTCCTCCTAAGTGTAGGCTATGCCGACCCTTATTCAGAGTATGGTTCTTCCCGAAATTACTCACGGCAAAGCTCTGTCCGCTAATGACAACCCGCAGACTCTCGCCGGCCTCGTATTCAACCCCGAGCGCCCAAATTCCAATGTCCAGCCTGACTACCTCGCCAGGCGTAATCTTCTCCTCCTTCTCGTGCGGGTGGAACGGCCAGTGTGGATGCATGCTCCTGGTCTCATCGATGGCTCGATGAGAAGCCCGGAGGATGCCCACAGGGCCCTTGTACAGCACGACTTCCGTCTCTTGCTCCGGCTTGAATTCCTGGAACGAGTTCACGGGTATGCCCTTCCATGGAATGTTAAGGTTCTTCATCTGCTTCCCATCTTTGTCGAGCTTCTGAATCATAACGTACACATCCATGTCGTCGTGATCTGGGCAAGACATGTACAGCACGGCTTTGGGTAGGCCTATGATGTTGGTAGTTTCGGGAAAGGTATGAGTAAAGCTGACGTTTCCGCCAGACTCGGAGTCGTAGCTGACCGTCGTCTTCGTCTCTGGCGCAGTAGTGGAGATGAGCGTCTCCTCCGTGCCAAGAAAAAACTCCTTGTACTGCGTTCGCGCCGGCGGGAAATCCTCCTCAACAATATTCTCAATCGCCTGGGGAGTTTTCTCGCCAAACCGCAGCAGAGACATCCTCACCTTGGGCGTCTTCTCCCATCCGTTATCGACGCCCTTGAGGTACCGGTCAAAGAACGCAAACAACTCATATTTGGCCTCAGAGTTACCCCAAAGGTCAAACCACTCCTGCCACGGATGCCATCTCAACCACTTCTCCTTCGACTGCACCTCCAACCAGGCCCGGATGGCACCCATACCGTGCATCGTGTTCGTCCACGTGCCCGTAATATACGTTGGCACATTAATCTGCTTCATATCTGGCCTCTTGTCGTTCCACCACGCGTTAGCAAGCGGATGCCGCGCGTACATCTCGCGAAAGCTCTCGATACCGCCGCGGCCTTTCAGCATATGCTTGATAATCAACTCATCAAATAAGTCGCCAGCGTACACGCCTCCCCGCGCAAACTGCTCGCGGTACAAGTCTCCGCATCCTTCCCACGGCGCAATGGCCTTCAAGCTCGGCGGTCGCAGCGCCGCGATGAACCACTGCGCGATTGCGAGGTGCGAATTCCCTGCGAGTCCGACGCTGCCGCTACACCAGGACATCGCCGCCACGGCCTCGATGGCATCGTACCCGTCTTCGGCTTCTTGGCCGCCCATGATGACCATTGGTGTGTTCTCGTCGCCACTGTCAAAGGCACCGCGCGTGTCGATGTTGACGATGGCGTAGCCGCGGGGAACCCAGTCCGCCGGGTCAGGCGCCTCGAACTTTTCCAGGCCGGAGAGCGTGCCAGACGGGATGCCGAGGTTCCATGGCGTCATGTAGCCCAGCGACGTGAGACCGTTGAACTTCTTGCCAAAGGGGGACCAGCATATTAGCGCAGGCACTTTCTCTATGGTGTTTGGCGGGCGCAGTACGTCTGCGTAGAGTGTCGTTCCGTCTCTGACTTTGATAGCGACGTCGTGCTCTAGTAGGATGGCGGAGGGCAATGGGCGCGCGTCTGGATGGGGATGTTTCCAGCCAGCGGGTAGGGTCTCTGTATGTTGATTGAGGCCGTCGTAGCCATCACGACCGGGTGTTGGTGCATTCAACGGCTCGATGGGCACTTCTAGACCGGAGAACCTTGAAGACGGCATTATGACAAGGGCTGTTTTCACTCTTGCTAACTTGTTCTTAGGTCGGAGAGCGCTTTGCTATAGTGTATCCAGTGAGACCGTTAACCTCCAGTTGCAAGTCCCGGTCTACTTGTACAAATGCCATCTTCAAAGACTTCATGACTTCGGCTTGTACAAATTCCAACTGAGTCTAACCCCTCCTCTCCCGGCCCTCCGCGGTCATGAAAGGAAGAAGTTGCTGTCCCGGCTGCTTACGGGGGTGGGGTGGGATGGAGTGTCGTCCAAGTCGGGAAGAAAACAGGCCCGCCAACTCCCGAACCGAGCGCCTTACACTGGACTTAGCTACCAGCCGATGCCGAACCGAAGCATTCCCCTCGAATGTACAGTACTAGTGTAGTGAATATCCCCCACCACTCATCCGCTCCGTACCGATGGGATCAAGCTAGACTGTTCCGAGAGGCTAGGAGTAGCTTTCGGCAGGATAGCGGAACATGCTCTAGAGTTGTTGCACCTGCCCGAGCTCAAGGTACTAGTTAGTCTAGAGGCTTACGGCTCGGTGGGCAGGAAGTGTCTTGATCGGTTCAACACTTTGGATCATCAAACGTTCATATTGGCTATAAACACAACGATTCATTCCATTCCATAGACACGAGTAATATCTAGAGAAGATCAAGCTTTCCTGAGGCATTGGATCTCACACATACCTTATTCAACAGAAAGTTTCCCTCATCTGACGCTTTCATCATGGTCATCGCAACCGACTTTGCAAAGCCTTTGGCGACCATCCCGGTCCCGGACGGAAAGAAGATTGTCAAAAATGCATCAGCCACGGCTCCCTTGAAGCCTCAGCCGGCGGGTCCCAATAGACTATTCTCTCAAGAAGGTGCAGTCTTTGGAGATTTCCGTGATGATCTCCTCCGCGATGGCTACGTCGTAGTCAAGGGCGCCATTCCCCGCGAAAGAGCAGATGCCTACGGCGAGGAAATGATGTCTTACCTTGAGAACTTGTAAGTGATCTATTTTTTCACACTTTCAAGCCTCTCAACCGAACCAGCACGCTGACAACTCAAATATAGCTCCGGCGGTCTCGGCTTCAACCGCAACGACCCCTCCACCGTCAAAGAATCCAACCTCCCCATCATCACCGAAAAGGGAATGTGCCTAGGCTACGGCGTCGCTCACGAGTCCTTCACCTGGGCCATCCGCCAAGAACCAGGCCTCGTCGACGCCTTTGAAAAAGTCTACGACACTCCCGACCTCATCGTCTCCTTTGACGCCGTCAACATGGCCTTCCCCAACCGGCCCGACGTCAAACCCAACAACCCCTGGCCGCACCAGGACCAGGACCCGGAGAAGCCAGGCTTCCGCTGCCTCCAGGGGCTCGTGAACCTCCTCCCGAACGGGGACCGCGACGGCGGGCTCATCGTCTGCAAGGGCGCGCACATGCTCTCGGAGGAGTTCCACGAGGCGTTCCGCGGGGAAGAGGATAAGATTTGGGCGTGGACGAAGGAGTGGTATGGGTTCACCGACAAGGGGATGCAGTGGCTCAAGGACCGCGGGTGCGAGTGGATCAAGGTCAACGCGGAACCTGGTGACTTGCTGTTGTGGGATAGCCGGACGCCGCATTATAATCTCAGCCCTGAAGGCACGTCGCCGCGGTTCTGCGTGTATACTTGTTACATGCCGGTCGCCGAGGCCACGCAGGAGGACTTGGTGCGGAAGAAGGGCGCGTTCGAGGAGTTGAAGAGCACGACGCACTGGCCTAATGCGATGCACGTTGGCGGCATTCCGGTGTTGAGGAATGGGGAGCCGTGTCCGTATAATACGGGCAAGCCGAGGAGTGTGCCGAAGCTTTCGGAGAGGGGGTTCAAGTTGACGGGTATTCCGTATATCCAGGGGGTTCCTATTGATGCTTTGGGAGAGTGAGGATGAGGTTGGTGAGGACTGGGCAGATGTCTGTGGAGGATTATGTTTTGGCTGAGCCATCAGATTGTTTGTCTTTAGTGTTTTGAGTAGACTGTCATCCGTTTAGTCTCAGTCAAGTTTTGAATACTCTTTGACTTTGCTCCCAGAAAGATTACTTTTCTATGTGATTTTACCACGAATTGATGAGAAAATTAGTATTATTAACTAACACTTGTACATGTTCTCAACTAAAAAGCACTTTACTGGAATGAACGATCTTTTGTGTGCGAGAACAGCCCGTGGCCACATCGAGAACGACACCCGGGAGATTCTTTGAAAAGACCATATTCCATCGACCACTAGATGAAGTCAAGATATACATATCTCTTGAGTTCTCGCCCACTCCGATTCTTTTTACGACTTTCTTATACAGAAAAAGAAAGGATACGGCCTTGATAAGGAACGACCTTCAGAACGATGTGATTCGAGGTGCCATTCACCGCGGTAAATAGAAAAATAATGACCAAATTCAGATCTCACTTTCAATTCTAGTACTGCCGAAACACTGTACCTGGGACACAGATTACCTGCCTAATCAAACTTTATATCATTCACCATACATCTCGGATAGCCCCAACTATGTTTACGGAATACTCTTGTTTCATCACTCAGAGGCGAGCTCAGGCCAAATCTTCTTCGTAGCCCACATCCTGATACGCGACCCGAACAGATACACAGGAACAGTAATGACTCCCAAAACACCAGCAATGACGGCGAAGATGTTCATGGCGCCCTGATATCCAATCAGATTGATCAACGGGACCGTGGAGTAGCTCAGGCCAAACGAGATGAAGCCGCGTCCTGCACATAGGACCAAGAGAAGCGGTCCCGCCTTGCTTGGAAAGCTGTCAATGGCGTAGGTGATGCCGACGAGGTTGGCTCCCAGGAAGGCAAAGTACCCAAGGTTGTAGGGGGCTACGATAGTCATCCAGTACCAGCGGTCAGGGTGTGCGCCTGCCTGTCCGAAGAAGACGCAGGAGATGATGGCTGATAGAATGGGGACACTCAGGATGATTAGTCTGTACTCAGGCTGCGAAGACGAGTTAGCATCGGCCCGAAATACATACCGGATAACTTGAAGACGTTGCTTACCTGGAAGGTTCCGCTCTTCCAACTACTCATGGCCCGCACCAGCATATCAGATCCGTAGCCGAGGAGAGGTACCAAGATGACACAGTCGAGGACTTGTACCAGCTGGACATATCCCAGCCAGTCGTATTTGAATGTGTACGGAGGCGCCATCAGGATCGTTGCAAAAGTTGAGGCTTGGTAGACGTAGATACCCAAGAAGGCGCCGTTGAGTAACAACATCCACACGATGTTTGGTAGCAATAGTGATTGCATCGTCTCCTTGTAGAAGATGACTGTCTGTTTCCACTCGGGCTTGAAGTGGAAGATTCTTAGATTATGGCGCCAGGTTCGGGGTCCAAAGACTTCGGGTTGCAGAATATGGTTTTGTCGTGTCAGGACCTGGACAATCATCTCGTTGTCGCCGTTTTTGTTGACGTTGCCTTCGTCGTCTAACTTCAGATGGACAGCGCCCCCTATAGCGATATCGTATTAGTCTAAGCACGCACCAGTTGACTGGGGCCCCCAAGATACGGGCGGAACCTACTGTCGGCATCAACTGGTCGATCATACTTTGTTTCTACAGCAAAGAAGAAAGCCAGGACAAGGATAACAGCGTTGATGAATGTGATGATTAAGTACCACCACTTGAGTCCCATTGAAGGGACGATGTAAGCCGTCGCAACGAACATCGCCGCCGTCCCTGCAGTTTGAACACCAATGAACCAGGACAGCTTGGCGCTTCTTTCGTGGAGGAAGTGAATCTCTTCAATTATGAAGGGAGCGAGTGCCTCACTTTGACCAGCGGCGATGCTGTAAAAGTTGCGACCTGCGATATGGCTGCTCAAGGACGTCGAGAAGGCGCACCATAGACCTGACAAGACCAGCAGAACTAGTGACACGAGGAATACAGGCCGCCTGCCTATAGTCACGCAGAGCGGCATGGAGAAGAGGTTTCCTATCCCCATGAATAGCGTCGGGTATGTGAGAAGGTCCGTGGCTCGCGTGGCATCTTCGGGGGGATACTCCTTCAGTACGGAGGGGAACACGGCGCCGAGACCGGATGTGACGAGGACGGCGATGGCGGAGTATGAGCCGACAACAAAGATGATAAGGTACTTGTGCCATGGTGGAAGGTTGAGGGGGTCTATCTCCCGCCATTAGCATTAGATGTGTCCTGCTTCGCAAATTTGGTTTTTGGGTAAGGTCTGGGATTTGGTAGCTTTACCTTTGGGGTCAGGGCTAGGAGTGGGAATTAGGACAACTGAACCGCCTTGAAGTAGCTGCACGGTTCCGTATGCCTGATCTTCCTGCGCAGTGACCTTTATTGCCGATCTCTCGATGGTGTCAACATGAGGCTCATCATCTTTGGTGCCAGGCATGGTCGGCAAACGAGGCAGAAATACTTCCAACAACTCAAAAGACGGTCGGCAATTTGGCGTGAGGCGAGCAAGAAAGTTGATAGGACGTTGAAAATTGTCGCAGCACAGACCCAAGCAGCAAACTCAAAGTCGTGATGCCGGCAAGGGCCCGTTGACGAGGTTCCATGCTTCTGACTATATACGAACTGATGTCTGAGCGGTTGTTGTCGCTTCTAGATCTCTTTGTGTTGACTGTCTATAGTCCTAATAGCCATTTCAATTGACTGTATTGAGTCTCATCAAGTTGCAGGAGTGTAGTGTGTCCTGTGGTCCAATCAAAGCTAGACCATTATCAGAGAATAGCTTCATTGGGCTGTCGGCTCGGCTCAGGCCCATCAACTCCCGATGGTCACGGTAGAAGCGTGCCTTAGACCAATAGCATTCCTACCGATCACAGGGGCTAAGCCTACATGTACGGCTCCCCATGTTTGCTTGCATTGTAAACCCCATGGGGAAGATCTAGGAGTCTAACCGCTTCCAGAGTCTCATTGGCCGAGTAAACATCTCGTTGTGAAGAATTATGGCAAACACCCTCTGAGATAGGCTGAGATTCCCAATCTCCTACCTCCCCCACTATTCCGAGCTGATCATCGCGTCAACCGGAACGAGGGGCCGGTCGGCCTGCGCAGTGTCCACCACCTAAACCACCCAAAGAAACTCCCGAAACGCTTCCGCGAGTCATTCGATCTCCTCGTTCTTTCTGGGCCGTGCCGTCTCTTCACGTTTCGGAAACGCCAAAGTACTCCTCATAACGACGCGCTTCGGCATCTCAACCTCCCCAGCCGAACCCTCATCTCCAGCTCCCGAACAACCCAGTCAGTCAGCAGCCAGTAAGCGTACCAGTCTAGCCAGGCCAGTGGAGAATACTCAGGTATCGGCTATGTGAGGAATTTCCACACACCTCACAGGCAACGCGCGGCAATGTCATCATATACGAACCCCGTACCCACTCCCGCGGCGGCTGCCGAGCCCTCGTCCGTCGTCGTCGAGTCTTCCGAGGGCACCTCGGGGGCGGCGGGCTCGGTAGCCAAGAGGCGACGTATTAACTTCGCCTGCAACTACTGCCGCAACCGGAAGACGCGCTGCGATGAGCAAAAGCCGTCGTGCCGGGCCTGCATCAACGCCGGCATCGAGTGCGTCACGACGGACCGGCGGAGGCCCGGCGTCGAGGTCCAGCGCCGGGAGACGAAGCGCCGACTGTCTCGGGCATCCAGCGCGTCCTTGACGCATTCGCTGACGGCCGTCGCGTCTCCACACTCACCTCGAGAAGAGCTTGAGAGCTCTGAGCTGCCGCCGCCGCCGCCAGCACTACCGTACACCCGCACCAAGACTTCGCCGTCGATAGAGCTGCTCTACAGCCGTGACCGGACAGCGTCGGTAGCGGCTCCTAAGCTTGTCACGGTTCCCAAGGATGCTGCCGTCACCATCATACCGGAAGATGAGGAGCCTCCTGCCTGCCAGGCCCCGCCTAAGTATCAAGGAAAGTTACCTGTAGTGCGCCCCAGCCGCGGGAACAACTCGGTCGAGATCCTCGGCGACTGGTTGGACCTTGCTGCGCGTCGGCTAGGGATCCAACAAAGGCGCGGAATGCCAACGCGCATAGACAGGCCGCCGGCTTACCGCATTCTGTCGTCTGAACCCTGCCCGTTTCCTCCCAAAGAAATTGCCCGCAAGCTTGCTGCCCGCTACCTCGAAGGTATCAATCTGGTCTATCCCCTCTTCACCCCAGACCGTCTCATGCGAGACATTGACACAGCCGTGGAACTCGGCCCAATAAACTTCGCAGAGGCACGAGGTTTAGCGGCCTTGGTGTCGGTCTACCTCGTCATGTCTATCGCGTTTGCTTCCGCGGCACTATCGGAACCAACATTGGATCCCGGGGACTATGTAATATACTGCAAAACTCTCATTGGCCATCTCGTCACCGTCAACGGCGTCGAGACTGTCAGATCCTTGGCGCTTCTTTCATTGTGTCTTCACTGCTATGATGAGTGCGCTGGGGCTTGGAACATTCTCACCACGGCGGTTTCTAATGCAACGTCGCTGGGCCTGCACAAACCTCGAACGTGCCGAGGCGGCAAAAACAACCGCCCTGACAAGAGGCCAGACTTTGCCAATGAGGAAGAGCGCAAGGCATTCTGGCTCGGCATCTTTTCCTTTGAAAAGTTCTTGGCGTTCGAGTTGGGTCGCCTTTCTTCAATAGAGGATGAGGAGTGCTACCCGCCTCATGTCGAGATGCCCACGGGCAACGGTACGTCGTCGAAGGATAAGGCGTTTGCTGTGACCGTCGACCTTGCGAGGATACTCAGCGAAATTGGAAGAAAGGCTGTCATCGTCAGCCGGAAGGAAGACGGACTCCGAGACGGTGCACTACAAGCTATCATAGCTGAAAAGGTTGAGACCACAGGGGAGGCACAGCTGCTCTTAACCAGATGGGGTGAATCAGTGCCCGATGAGCTAAGGTACGTTTGACCGTCCCTCATGAATACCCATACGTGAATAGGTGAAGGTGGAGCTGACGATGTTCGACTCCAGACCGATATCAGACATCTTGATCGGCTCAAAGCAGTGCCCCTTTGCATCGTTCATTTCGATGCATTATAATAATGCGTAAGTGAGCTTCTCGTCTTATTGCATCAGATACAGCTCACTCACACGACACATCACAGGCTCGTGATCCTCTCACGAAACAGTCTTCTAATCAGCGAAGAGGCAATCACGTCAGGCGCAAACTTGATTGCTAAAGGCAAACCGTGGGACTATATCATGCGGAATGGGCAAGGTCTCACCGCCAACGCCGCCCGGAAAGTTCTCAGGATAGTAGTCGAAGCGGTCGACTCCAAGTCAAATGCGATCCTACCGAATCTTCTTGCGCCACTCCATGCACTCACAACCCTAGCCGTCCATGTCGTAACGCACCCAGACTCTCGCATCTCAACCATGGACCTACACGTAAGCCGCTATTGCGCGAGCCTTTTCGCCCTCTTGACGTCACTGACATGCTCATAGCTCATTCAAACGGCCTCAGACTCCATGAGAGAGATATATACGAGGCTTCGGGGTGACGGCTTACTGGACATGCTGCTACAGAAGATCGACTCATTCCTTCACAAAGGGCTGCCGACGCCAGGATCGTCGAGTAACCGAACAACTACTACCGTACCAGCCATGACTCCAAGATCCATGCCAGACGCCAGCCCTTGGCAAAACGCTGGGGAGACACCGACGCCCAGATCGGTAGATGCTCAGTGGTCTGGCAGTGACGACAGCCGCCGCAGGGAATCAGGTGGCAATGTGCCTGGTTCAACAATGCCCTTTTATAACCAAGGAAACGGGTTTCCCAGCGGATCGGAGTTCGGATTCGACTCCTTTGGCGAGATGCCCATGGTTGGCGACGAATGGTCGCCTAGTCTGTCTGATGGGATCGGATGGGACTGGGCGTGCTTTTCTCATCTTCTCAACGACCAGTACCAGCCACAGTGAAACTCATTCGCGGGACCATCACCTAAAATCCCGTGTCAGCTTGCCACGACCGCACCGAATCTGCCTTGATCTCTGTCGAGACTCGATCCCTCTGTCGCTTCAAGGATTCAAGGAGGCGCAAGGTTTGATGTCGCAACAGTATCTCAACATATTGCTGCTTAAGGTGATATGACAGCATAATTAGAGGCTCTCTCTATATTCTTGCTGGGAGACACGAGTAAGACAACTAGATGGAAGTGTTGGTATCCCTATTACAGGGTAGTTGGTTCGAACCGTGGGTTGACGAAGAGATCAATTGAACTATATGAATTTCTGCGTAGGTGTAAAAAGGAGGTTCCAACCGTAGGTTGGGCTGGCTACGATAATCGTAAATAGGGCCCCCAATTGGCCCCTGCGCAGTTGGCCGTATGCCGCGGTCGAATTGGACTTCCAATCCGACAGGAAGATCCACCTTTGGTACTGGAGCCCGGAAGGGATGGGAGCATCATTCCGCCAAGAACTTCGGAATCACCTCTGGTATCTCGGGGCCTATGAAGTCCAAGTATGAAGTCCAAGAACGCTGCGTGGAGCGGAGTAGCGTGAACGATGGCCGATTCGATTAATCAGAGGATGTTTTTTATTGGAAATCATGACCTCTGGTGGAAACAAAGTGTAAGGATCGGTGACAAGTTACAGGAGGAGCTCATTGTGACTACGCGGCTATAACGAGACCAGTTAGGGCAGAGGCTTTGGAGGCTATCTCTGAGCAGTCCTCTTCGGAGCCATGTGAACATCTCCAATGAATCAAGAAGCCATCAGTGTTCTTGCGAATCATCAGTCGTTGATTGCTAATGGTCCATATTTTTGAAAGTGCCGAGTCGGCCCCAGTTCCAACTTTATGCTTGAATAAATGCCTCGTATTCCGGCCGCAGTGAATGGCTACTTCCGTTACTTTAAGCTAGATCATCATCTCAGTGTGCATTCATGAGGCGTTTTATGTTGTATTCCTAGACCACCACACTGGCGCTAGGTCTCACTGGCGCCAAGCAAAGAACGGGATAGAATGCGTGCTGAGCCACCGGTAACGTACGTAGGACTGGGTGCATAATACTTGGCATATGACAACTCCTTAAATCACATTGGCTGCTACTATGATAGCAGCCCTACGGGAACGAGAACGATGATTTGGTACAGCGACCTGGAACAATTATGGCTGCGGAGAGCCTCATCTTCGTTTTCGTTTTCGTTGTCGAGTAGGTCCATGTCTGTGGCTCAGTAGTACCGCGCTGGTCGTGCAGTTCCACATTGTGAATCAGCAAGAGCATCTGAACAGGGTGTCGTCAATCAGGTGAGAAATGAGAAACTAGCCAGTCACTTGTTCGCAATTTGGCATTATAGGATGGCTTGATATTCGAAATCAGTGAGAATGATATAAAGCCATCGCTGCTTCCTGCCGATATGACATATAGACCTAGGTAGTTTCGAATTACCGATTAATC